TGTCTCCGCTTCTTCTACCAACTCGTTCAAAAACAGACTCGACAGTTTTATATTATAGTTAAAATATTGTTTTTCCTTTAAACCAAAAATTGTAATTTTATTTCTTTTAGTTGTAATTTTTGTTATTTACTAGTAGGTGATAAATGAAATTTCTTTGTTTTTGGGCATAATAGGGACTTAGTTCCTCTGCCCTCGCTTATATTATAATAATAATAATAATAATAATAATAATATTCTACATAAAAAATTGTTATATCTTGGTATGCCTGTTAAAATTTCAGATTTCATTATATCCTTGTACAAAAATAGATGGACTTACTTAAAAATAAATGAGACTCTTTTAGGCGCCAAGGCTAACGAATATAGGTATACCACAGGGTAGTATTTTAAGTCCACCTCTCTTTCATTGTATAATATAGATCTAGATCAGATAGTACCTCCACACTCTAATATATTGCAGTCTGCAGATGATGTTGTGTTGTGTACCTCACATACTACCCTTGACATTTGTAGGCGTCAACTCGAATCTACACTAGATTGTGTAAAAGGTTATTACCATTCTCTAGGCTTATCGATATCAACTACAAAGACTGAAATTTGTTTTTTTTTTCAAAAAACGCCGAACTCCCCAAGGTAACTTTAAATTAGGAAAAATAGAATTTCCAATTAAAAATTGTGTAAAATATCTAGGCACATATTTGGATCGTAAACTGGAAGGATCAAATTCATTCTATTATAAAAAAATCGGAGAACTCCATGAATATCCTTAGAGCATTTTGTAAAATCAGTTGGGGAGCTGACCCGAATATTGCATTGCTATTTTATCGCTCAATGATTCGACCAATTTTCGACTATAGTTGTCATTTATATGGGTCTGCGTCAACAGGACATCTTAATAAAATTGAAACCCAAAAGAATAAATGTTTGAGGCTATGTCTTGGTTACTTAAAATCTACTCCTATTAGTATTATTGAAATTGAAGCTAAAGAGCCTCCCCTTACACTACGCAGACAGTTTTGTACAGATAAGTTTGTAGCTAGAGCTATATCAAAAATATTCGTAACTTAAATATATCAGACTTAAGCCGTAAATATTTGCGTAACAAAAAAACTCCAATATACGTTGAAAGGTATAGGAAATTGACAATATTTGAAGAAAAAAGGCATCAAAGTAAAATACCACCAATTTATACACAACCTCCTAAGACTCTCTTCTCTAAGATAATAGAAACATATTATATGGATTCAAATCTTCCAGGAAGTATGGTCAACAAAATAATTAAAGATAAGTGGCCTGCATTTCAATATATTTTTACTGGCGGCTCTAGAATTCAAAATAAAATGGGGTTATGCAATATATCTATCACTGGAATGCTGATTACAAAGAATCATGTCGATTGCCCAATGCAGCTTCAATATATACTGCCGAACTGTCAGCTTTATTTCTTGCGTTAAAATATAATATAGCCTCTATTGGTATGAATAATTATATCATTCTAACTGATTGTAGAAGCATTAAGGTCGATTCAGACACATCAGTCACGTCTCGTCACAGTCCTGGCGCCGAACCGAACAATCCGTCATACAAAATATTCTTTAATAGAAATATGGCGCCGGCATTCACATTCATCAGGCGACGAACGTTTCCCAGCTGTCAGATAATTAATAGCTCTGTGACCAAACAGGACCGGTTCGGCGCCGAGACTGTGGCGGGACTGATGTGTCTGAATCGACCTTTATGCACAAACTCACTTCTATCAAAACCACAAAATACTTAATCCATATTGAGATAGAAATCAAGAAGTTACATTATGATATTATTTCGGAGGGTAGTTCGATTATTATTTGTTGGGTAAAGGGACACTCTGGAATATTAGGAAATGAAGAAGTCGACAAATTGGCTAAATCTCCAGCTTTAACCAAACATAATATAAACAACATACTTCTTTTAGTACCAGACATAGATAATTTCAGTAGAAACAACTGCAAACAAAGATGACAACGTTTATACAACCAAAGTACAACTGGAATAAACTTTAGAGCTTGCCAACCACTAATACCCAATGAGAGATGGTTCAAATATGAGACAAATAGGTTATTTATAAAAACAATAAACAGAATAAGATCAAACCACGCACTCACTACTGCATACAAACACAGCATAGGCCTCACTGATAACCCATATTGTTCCTGTGGTAAAGTGGGTGATCTGCAGCACCTTATATTGGAGTCTGGACAGTACAAACAAAGTATCAAAATAATGTATGAAAAATTAATTGAGCTAAATTGTCCATTGCCTGTCAATTTGAATACAATTATTTTTTCAAATAAAAAGTAGATATTAAAATGTATCTACGAATACATAACGTCCTGTAAATTTAAATTATAAGTAGTTTTAGGTATTTAAATTCAAAATTGTAAATATGTCAAAAATTGAATGTATTGTATACTAACATATTACTTCCTGTAAATTTATATTATAAATAGGCTTAGGTATTAAACCAAAAATTGTAACTACCACAAATAGTCTGGCTAATTGGCTATGCCAAAGCCATTATACAATAAAAAAAGTGTTTTGCTTTGTTCATTTCTAGTGAATTTTGATTGTGATTTTCTTATAGTTTTTTAATATTATTTTGTTCTTGTCTTTTATATACAAATAACAGAAAAGAGTCGTTTAGTATTATTTTGCTGATTTAATAATTTGATCACAGAATGCATACAAATCCCATTTAATTTTAACAAGAATTCAAATTCTACTCTTCAATTACGTCATGCGCGAACACGACCGATTTTGCGCTACGGGAAGATCCTATCTTGTCCCTTATAGTATCAGGGTTTTCAGCGTGTAGTTCGGAGATTTGATCTAATTTGTTTATTTAGTTGAGTGTTGGCTGTGTACGCTCTATTTATAATAAAAATGGATCTCAAGTTTAAGTAAGTATATCTTTACTATTTTTTCGTTATTATATTTTGTTTAGTGTTTTCAATTGAGCCTAAATTAACGGCTTATTAATAGTGTAAATTTTTCGAAATTTTATCCTGGTTTTGTAAATTATGCCTTATATTTTTGGTGTTACATATATGTAACTCTAGGAACATATGGAAGCAAAAATCGAAACTTTTAGAATTGTAACGTATTTTTTGTTCCAGAAAAGGGGTTTCTCTTCAAGAAACATTGTAGATGATTGATGTCGATGAAACTTTAGACGTTGAATATATACTGAAATTGTGCATCTAGTAAGTTGTCGTTCCATCGTTTACGTGATCTTTCTACTGATCGTCTTCCTATTGGGAAACCAATAGGAAGTCTCTTGCCGTCTTTACTACTCCATTTTTTGTCATTCGTCTTATATGATAAAAGTTTTATATTATTTATTTCTACCTAAGAAGGTACTTCTAATACACAGTATTGTGTGAATTAATGTGAAGAGAGATTGGAATTTAGTTTTCATAGTTTTCAGTTTTAATTCAAAAAAAGAACATAACTCCAAAACCTTATTAGTGTATTGTTTAAAACACGTGCTTTGTAATTTATATCATTATTATATTTTGTTGTATCTCAGGTTATGTGTAAGTTGTTGTTATTTTCATTGATTTAACTGTGCAATCAGGTTTAACTTTTTAATATGGATATTACTCTTAGGGAAGGAGAAAGGATCATAACACTTAGTCAGCATACACCAATGACTCAGAGGGACATTGCAAAGGAGTGTTGTGTAAGTTTGGGTACAGTAAACAAAATAATAAAAGAAAAAATGGAAACAGGGTCAGTTGAAGTGCAGCGAAAAGGAAAATGTGGAAGAAAACGGAAGACTACTCCTCGAGATAAAGCAAACTTCATCTCAGAAAAACAAGTTATGACCTCCAGCAAGATTTAGAAAAGGCTGTGAGACCGCAGAAGAAACAACTCCTAATAGCGACTATGATTAAAAAAAGACTAAATTGTGCAAAAACTACGCTCATTGGAGTGCAGAAGATTGGAGAAAAGTGTTATTTACTGATGAGACCCACTTCCTAGTGCAGAGCCAGCCATCAAAATTCGTACGAAAGGCAGCCAATGAGTCACTTTCAGCTAGCTATATTAACTAAACAGTTAAACATCCCACCAAAAAAATGTTCTGGGGCTGTTTTTCATACTCAGCAACTGGCACTCTTATTCCTATTGAAGGTATGATGAACAGTGAAAAGTACAAAGCCATGCTAGGGTAACGCTTAGCTATAGAGCTTGACAAAGTGCAGGCCGAAGGGACCGCAATTTTTCAACAGATTCAGCTCCGTGCCATGTATCGAAGGTTATGATGAAATACTTCAAGGATAATAATATTACCCTTCTTGATTGGCCCGGAAATTCTCCTGACCTTAATACTATTGAAAATTTGTGGGCAATATGTAAGGTTAAACTGAAAAAAATTGACTGTACGACAAAAACAAAAAATGGTGGAAGCAGTGATTAAGGTGTGGTTTAAAGATGAAGCAATCACAAACAATTGCAAAAATCTTGTAGATTCCATGCCTAGAAGACTCCAGGAAGTCATAAAAGTTAAAGGGGGACATATTAAATACTAATTAATAAAAAAATCTCATGTAAGTGTGCCTTAATTTACCTTTGGCCAAATAAATCATATTTACAAATTAATTCTGTTTGTTCACATTAATTTGCACAATACTGTAGGTTCAATTTTGTCCTTCAACTTTGTGTTTTTAGTGGCTCTCTAAAGTTTTCTTATAAACAGATCTATTTTTCTGGGCTGATGGTAACTTTTTTATTGTCTGCAGTTTTTTTCTTTAAACTTCAATGTAACTTACCATTCACTATACTCGTTGTTGCTCCTACACGGGAATAAATGAAACAGATTAGTTATAATTATATTTTTATATTATATACACAGTATATACAGCGTTAAGGAACAAGTCAATGTGACTCTGACAGACACAAATTAAGATCAGTAAAAGTATTTTTGTAAAAAAGGCACTGGAATAGTGAAAGTAATCATAAATCTACGGAGGAGAGATGACATCAAAGTTGTCATGACTAAAACTACTTACATTATTAATATTAGAAACACAGCTATTAACTCTAAATTCTATGTCATTAAAAAGCATATTATCGTTATTTATTTTATTATCATAAATATTTAGAAAATGATTGTATTCATTGTATTGAGCAAGATCTATATACTCATCTTGATAACTTGATTTGGTATAAGTCTTAGTTGAATAGGAATCGTAACTTGGAAAAGATTTGTCATCTAAATTATAAGGTTTGGGCTGAACTAGATCTATCGTATTAGGTTTGTATGGTTCTATGCTTGTGTGGGGATAGTAATGATGCTTGAAGATAGGTTCTTCTAGTTTGGTTTCTAAGTACAAATCTTGGTGTAAGTGAGATACATTATTATTAAGTAACAACTGACTATCTGGACTTTGACTAAGGTTAAATCTGCTATTACTATTACTACTATTATTACTATCTTCGTTTAACATATTTCCAAAAGTTGGATGCCAGTATTCCTCTGTTTTAAATTCTTTATGTATAGTACCACTGCCCAGATCCAATAAAGTTGGTGGACTTCGAGCAACGTCGTTCTGATTGATTTGATTTACGTAGTCTGGCTTTACCGGTTGATCCATTTGGAATATTTCTTCCGGTTGAAATAGATCAGTTGAAATGTTGGTGAAGTCATACTGATGGTTACTCAGTGGTTGTTCCATAGGAGCCTGGTAGTGCTGAATTGTTGGTTCTTGAGCCCAATATGTTTCTGGCATGTGCTGTTGTTGGTATGTATTTGGAGATGTAGGAAATTGGTTGATATTTGGTAGTACCGATTGTTGGTAACTGCAGATACACTCGAAGGGAGGGCAAGAACAATAACCTGAAATAAATAAAAAAAAATAAATTTTACTTTTAAATTTTTATATTCCTAAGAATTACGAAAAATGTAAAGACAATTGGAAAATATTGCAAAGAAGATTTAAAACATTTTTGCTTGCTTGACCTGAAATATTTTTACAGTAGGCTGCACTAAATTATATTTCCCATGTTCGGACATTTTCCACTGAGTAGCTTTTTGGTACCTACATTTCAGAATTTTCTTTTAGAAAAACTCTTACCTTGTGTGGCCAAGTGCTCGGTCAGAGTGACCAATGAGCACTCTTGGCGCGTATCGCCCCGTCTTCCTTCCTTTTCCTCATTTCCCATTGGTCTTTTGTTTTGGAATTTTGTAAAATATTGCTTATAAATATTAGTTGATTTCCAAACCAAAGAACAGTCTACCTCGGTCTCTACTAGAGCCCTTAACTCTAGTGAACCTACTAGCGGGCTTCTGCTCCACCTACCTTAGACTCTGAGGCTTTGTATTCGCCTTCTACAAGATAGTTTTATTTCAATCATCCTTTGGAATCGATTCAACGTCCCAACTTTTAAATAGGATAAGTGCCTAGGGTATATCGCACATCAGATTCACGAAATATCCTAGAGCAGAGCGTACAGTGGGAGACGGTTTTACCAACATGTTACCCCCCGAGACGACACTTATTACCAGCAATTTCACGGACTGTTTGCACTTCCAAACTGATACACACTTAGAAATTGCAGACTTCAAAGTCTTCAGTGCAGTTTGCAGGAGCGTTTTTTCAAGATTATTTTAGTACAAAAATTTGTCGATATTAATTCTTCTTGAAATATTTTTGCAGGATTTTTTTTGAGGATTACTGATATCTGGTGTTAGAACTATTAACTCTTACTTCTACTCCCCGTGTTTGTGATCCATTAGTTTATAATATGTGTTATATGCATTATAATAAGTGTTGGTATCCCTTGTAATTTGAGCAATTTCATTTTGTGTTAACTCATACTAATTTATGATGATGTTTAGTGAGAGTTGTAAATATTTTTATAGCCAAAATGTTTGTAGCATCAATTCTATTGTTCGAAATCCTAAAATCTCTAGATATCCAGTCAGATATCACCGGGTTTTAGGTAAAATTATGTAAGAAAACATTTTTTGATGGCTGTTCAAGAGGAAGGACTTCATCAAACCAAAGAAGTCACTGGATATGAACCTCGAAAAAATTTCTACTAATTTTAAAATTGTAACCATCAATTAGTTTCTTATAACATTAAATGCCTGTTTTAAATTTCATTTAAAAGTATTTTAATAAATAAAAATACTAAATAAATAAATTAATCGAGGGCGAAAGTAGTACGGACAAAAAAGTTAGTGGATACGGAATATTGATGCGATATTGTACCAGTGAGTTGAAAAAAAAAACACTTTTGTATATTTAGTCTTATAGTTAGAAGATTTAACGGACACAATCTCCCATTCTAATGAATAAAGGATGAAAACGATGTCCGATAAAAAGAATAGCGAATTTTTTTTTAAATAAGTAATCTGCTTTTAGAAACTGGACTATTTTTTTTAAATCAACTAGTTACAAATATGTCCTAGTTATGGATAATCCGCTACAAAACGAGTTACTAGTTTTAATGTTACCCCAAATAAACAGATGTTTAAGTGAAATCAAGTCGAATGTGGGAGTAAGATACCGACTAAAACACATTTATCTTTTGTGCAAATGTAATATTACGTTAGTTTTGATTACAGTTTATACATATAAGGAGTACTTACCTTTGTCTGCTTCCGTTGTTAATAAAGGCTGGCTAAGATTTCTTGAAACTTGGTTGGTAATTTCTCTACATTGTCTTTTTGGTTCTCTTAATGACATCAGCTGAAACAAGTGATATGTTAATATTGGCTACGTGTTTATTATTGTATATGAAAATATCAGAATATTTTTCTGTTTTTATATTGTTCACGTAGTATAACAAAAAAAAAAAAGAAAAAACTGCCCAAACGTTTCGTTTGAAATAGCTACGATAAGCAAAACATCCGTAATGATTTTCATTTCGATTTTAAAATAGTCACTTAAAAGACGGTATTTATAAAAATATTGGATCAAGCCCATAAGTATAGTGCTCGGGGTGTTAAAAATGTGAATCGCTATGTGAGACACGTCAAACAAAAAAGTTTTATTTAAGAACTCCTAGATTTGAGGCTTATTTTATCAGAATAACACATTGTCAGAGGTAATCGAGTTAATTGTGTCAGAGTTAATATGATATGAGCGGGATCACAAAGTGTATTAATAATCATACGCTTATCAAACGCACCTGGTGCATCATAAGGGCCTTTACATTTTACTATTTTTCAACTTGTCTTAAGTGAAATGTTTTTAAATTTTTCCCATCAGCCGTTCTTGGCTAACTCTTGTTTCTTCCGAGCGCGAATGGGTATTAGGTTTCCGAGGGCAGACGGATCACTATATTTTCTTCTACTAAATACTCTTCACATGAAGACCACAACGACGATAAAGGCGGATAAGAAAATTCGAAACGACGATTTCGGTGAAAGTGGCTTTTAGGCATGGTATATATAGAAGCATAGAGAGCCAGTGACTGCCGATATAAGTAGTTACCTCCTACTAGTCAACAGCTTCGGGTGGACGAGTTAGTAGGAGTAAAGGCAACAGGCAACCTCTTATTCTAGAGGCGAGATTTTACCTTTTAAGGCGGATGAATCGGTAATGATCAACGGCGTGAAGGTTCGAACAGCAACGGGAAACTACCGCATTCAAAATTTGTAAGATATCCCTAGAACAGTCACCATAGCTATGACAACAAAAAACTTCAAAATAGCACTGATCATGGTAATAGAAATCTGAGATCCGCAGGAGAGGCGTAAACCACAAGGATCGCAGGGCCTCTCAGGCCGTCACCAAGCGACACCCTTATAATATGCTGAAGAAAACACCTCAACAATTTGCAATTCAACTTTAAACAAACAAAAGCATAGTTATATTGAATGTACGAAGTCTATACCAACAAGGAAAAGCTCACAACCTGATGCAAGAAATGCAATGCTTAAATATAGACGTCCTTGGATGTAGTGAAGTTCGATGGCCATTGCGGATCGCAATAGAGTAGCTAATATTATCAACAAAGAAATCGAAAGATCAATCAAAGGGTTTATACCGATAACGAACAGAATTTCACTGCCGTGTAAAATAATCTCAGATATGAAGACGATATAATACGAAAAGCAGAGAAGGGCTGCAGATTTTGGTTGATCGCACTACGTAGTACTGAGAGAGGTATGAAATGGCTCTGAACATAAAAAAACGTGATTGTCAGTTAGAACAAGAGTGAAGGCAAAACAATCTACGTTAAAGGAAAAGGTTAAGAGAAAGTACTCAGATAAAACTGGGAATATAAATTAGAACTAGAGTATTGAGATGCTACGTATTCAGTTCCCCTTTAATGGAGAGTTAAAGCGTGGACAATTACGGACCCAACTGAAAAAAAGACTTGCCAGCTTTGAGATGTGATGTTATCGAAGAATGTAGAAAATCACATGTTAATATTAAGAAAGATAAAAAAATAGAAATACTCAACATTATGCAGGAAAGAAAAATGATCTACTTTGGTCATATACTAAGAAATGAAAAATATGAGTTAATGCGAATGGTTATACAAAGGAGAGACGTCACACGTCCTGGTTGAAAAATTCAAAGCAGTGGAGTGGAAAAACAACAATAGAGTTTTTCAGAACTGATGCAGAGTGTAATGGGCCGTGAGAATCGCCAATGACCTTAAAGGATGAGGCACATAAAGACAAAGATTGTTAGTATGTTCTCTATCAGAAAATGATAATATTAAAATCATAATAGATTATTAATTCCAAATTTAAAATTAGGAATCGTTCTTTTTCTACAAATGTTTTTACCATTCTACTATTACCCATTACTAAATGAATGATCTTTATTAAAAAATTAAAAACTACAAAACTATTAAAAACATAAACAGCTGGAAGGGGAAGAGGAAAAGCCCAAGTCTCCATATAATATATATATATATATATATATATATATATTATATATATATATATATATATATATATATATATATATATATATATATATATACGGATATATTGGGTTTAGTAGTCAATATATTGGCCTTTAAGTAAAACTCTTTTAGGTTTGCTAAGCTTTCGAGTTTATTTTACTCTTTTTCAAAACATACTAAAAATTAACATAAAAAATTTACATTAGAAAAATGAAGTTCTTATGTCTTCAATAGGCTTACCCTTGTGAGAATTGTCTTTTAAAATTAGCAAAATTTTACATTTTGTCATTATGTCATTAACATAATGACATTAAATTTGATTTACTTTTTATTTCTGTCAAAACTTATTACTAGGGTTTCCATATCTCTTCTATTTTTTATATTTATTTTAGGTGAGTTTGACAGAGGAAGTGTCCATGTTTATGCAAACCTTCATTGCAAATTTTGATATAATATTACAGTTATTAAACAAGCAACAGAGTTTATGTTACTAAGTATTTAAGAAAGATAAAAACATAAAAAATAAAAGAAAATAAAAGAAAGATACAAATAAAAATAAATTTTATCTCATTTGAACTTGAAATAATCCCTTTCATATGCGTAACTTTTAAGAACTTTTATATTGTTATTCTTTTATTTAAAAGAAGATGTATATAGCACTAAGATTTTCAATGTCTTCTCTTTTGTTTTAAGGTGTTTTGTGTAGTTTTAATTAAACACATTTCTAGAAACAGTCTTTTTAGAAATGTGTTTAATTAAAACTACACAAAACACCTTAAACAAGAGAGAAGACATTGAAAATCTTAGTGCTATATACAGTAATCTTCTTTTAAATAAAAGAATAACAATATAAAAGTTTATAAAAGTTACGCAAATGAAAGGGATTATTCCAAGTTCAAATGAGATAAAATTTATTTTTATTTGTATTTTTTCTTTCTTAAATACTTAGTAACATTAACTCTGTTGCTTGTTTAATAACTGTAATATTATATCAAAATTTGCAATGAAGGTTTGCATAAACATAGACACTTCCTCTGTCAAACTCACCTAAAATAAATATAAAAAATAGAAGAGATATGGAAACCTTAGTAATAAGTTTTGACAGAAATAAAAAGTAAATCAAATTTAATGTCATTATGTTAATGACATAATGACAAAATGTAAAATTTTGCTAATTTTAAAAGACAATTCTCACAAGGGTAAGCCTATTGAAGACATAAGTACTTCATTTTTCTAATGTAAATTTTTTATGTTAATTTTTAGTATGTTTGGAAAAAGAGTAAAATAAACTCGAAAGCTTAGCAAACCTAAAAGAGTTTTACTTAAAGGCCAATATATTGACTACTAAACCCAATATATCCGTATATATTACTCACATAGTCACTAAAGCCCTTTCTAATAAAAAAAAGAATATATATATATATATATATATATATATATATATATATATATATATATATATATATATATATCTTCGTTCTTCATTCTTCGTTATATATATATGAGTTTTTATTCAAAAGCATCCAGACAAAATGTAAGCTAACAACAAGTACAGCTTTTCATTGACAGGTTTCAAAGTCTGGGTATAGTTAAACAATATTATATAAGAAGTAAGTCGTCCATTTCGATATTGAAATGTATTGAAGTTGCAGTTTTAGGTCTTCTGGTGTTTTGCGCACAAGAGTTCATAAAATTTTAAAACCTCATAAATTTTATCCATACAAAATGACACAAGTTCAGATACATGCCATATATTTAGAGTTGAAAGCCTCAACACCCTTAAAAACTCACCGTATTATCACGAAAATTTTAGAATACGACGATCTGTTAGCGGCTCAGATAATTTTTCAGCAAGAGAGTGAACGGTTTCCTCCTCAATATACTATTTAGGTACGAAATTCTATGAAGGATTGTTAGAACGAGCGTTTTTCCGCACGATGTATTAGTCAAAGAGGTACAAACAGAATCACTTGTTAGATACCCAGGTTTCAATCTCTAAGAGTTTTTCCTCTGTGGTCATTTGAAATCAACCATTTACTCTACTAAGTCCGAGAATACATAAGAACTGTGATAAATAATTATCGCCGAATGAAGGAGAATAACTCATAAGGTCTGATAAAAATATAAGATCTGGGTTTGAATTAAAATTGTATTATTTTATGGAAGTTAGTGGACGTGATTGAGTAGTCAACAATATGTCAATCAACCTTAAAAAAAATTAAAAAAAAAACAGTTAGGAGCAATTCCCAGTAGAGGGTTAAAGTTTTGAGAATTATTTTGCATGAAAATTTGCATCTCTCAATATAAACCACTTTTACATTTCCATTTATTTTGCCGAGTTTTATGAGAGTACACATTTTTGTTGGGACACCGAGTATATTTATCGTTACAATATTTAAACAAGATCTCGACAAATATTAACCTTGATTAATGTAAATAGGTAAGCAAAAGAGTAATAAAATCAAGAAATATAAATATTGCTACACATCTGTAATTATGATTAAGCGAATGGAACCATAGGTTTCGCAGTCAATGTCCCAACCAGATACATACACATACTTCTGTGATATGCCGATCGTTGGGATGTGTGCAGTGGTGGCAACATAAATTTTAACAGATGATCGATGATGAAAAACGGACTTAATCGGAAAAGTTCTATAAATAATAATAATAATGATATTGATAATGGCATAAATATGGACGATAGATAGCCTCGTAGATAAAGCATTGAGAATTCCAACTAGTTTGTCAATGTTATGCACCTCGAGGCGATTTGTATTGATAATGACAGGTTGGATTAAATCGAAGAGCACTTTCTTCTGTAGTCTATAATTAATTTTGTGTGGTCGATTTATCATCACCTCTGCGGCCTGTTTATTTTCAAAATATCGATGACTAGAGATGGTCGATCACTCATTTCGAACAAACCTCTTATTAGCGTTAGATAACTCGATTATTTACTATCACTAAACGTTTAATTGTAAATTGTGAAAAGTATTTGGTTTCGGGCACAATCACGTTTGGATTATGCTCGTTGGTCGCTGCTTATGCAAAATAGGCACAGATGCTGTGTGGTCTATTAATAAGATTTCGGGTACATCTAGAATTATTATTACTGAAATGCCGAGTGTTTAATATGCTTTTATATACAGGAATGCTTTTTTATCCTGTATAAAAACATTTTAAACAGTATAAAAGTCGAAACTTTATGTAATAAGAAATATGTGTATTAGAAAATAATTTATTTCTATCCTCGTTTTGTAAATATAATTTAGCACAATTTTAAGGCAGAAGATTACAAAGGTCTTTATACAAGACTAATCAAAGCAGAAAAAGAATTGATAAAACAATATGACTATCCCAACAAACTTTAAAATAATATTAATAATAAAATGCAAATGAGTTGTGTCAGAAAAGCATTGCCATTAATAATTTTCAAAACAAGTATAGTTCTAAATATATTAGAGTAAAACACAAATAACTCTTATATACAACTCTAAAATGTATAGAGAGAGAGATAGAGAGAGAAAGAGATAAAAAGTTAGAGAAATGGGTTTAAGATCTATAAATTAGTGAAATCCTTGATTTACTTTCAAAAGAATTCCAGATTTTAGAGTTGGAAGTTAAACGATATTTGATAAAAGTGACATTGCATTGCATAGCTTTGTGCCCTCCAATTATGGCATCACCCTGGTCTACCTGGCCTTTCGGCATACGACCGTTAGCGCTCCCACTGCCCCTACGAGTCCGACAGCAATTGAAGGTGTCACGATGCCGAAATATCGTGGGGCTCTACCTCCCCCGTAGTACCTGTGTTGCGGGTCACGCCACCCTTCCGTGAATCCTCCCCCCGGAGGCGGAAAGGCACGCAGGTGGTAGAATACCACCTCGCCCGTAGACAGGTCACCGCCGAGGAATCGCTCCTCTACCACTCGTTGATCTTTCCGAGGTGTGGTACGTGCCGATTCTCCCGCTCCCCCTTCCGCGGTGTTAGCTTCCGGAGGTGCATACGTACCTGGTTCGTTCAACCACACTCGGCTCTTGTGGAAAATGAGAGTAGAGTGGTCCCACGAGGTGCTCGTCTCGGATACTAGGAATGTAGACCGGTGACTGAGATGACTAAGCATCTCTGTGCGTTTCTACCAACCCGGCACCTCAAACGACGGCCCTCTACCTCTCATATCCGCCCATTAGTCGCCTCTTACGACAGGCAGGGTCTTCTGGCCCCGGCCGTATTCTTATCTCCTCAAGCCGGAAGGAGTATAGCGAAGATGCTATCAGCAGTAAAAATTCAAAACGACTCGTCAACCCAATTTGAAATACATGGGGGGTAAGGCAGGGAGATGCGCTGGCGTGTCAGCTTTTTAACGTCGCCTTAGAAAAAGTTGTACGAGACGCTAATTTAGATAGCAGGAGAACAATATTTAATAGAGCAATCCAAATTCTAGCATATGCAGAAGACGTGACATTATAACAAGAACTAGGGCGAGAACTGCGGAAGTCCTAACCGAGCTAGTAGCAGCAGCAGAACGAATGGGGTTACATATAAATCAAAATAAAACTAAATTCATGGCGACTAAAAAACACAAGAGCTGGAAATGTTGACGCAAATTTAATCATCAATGACCAAAACTTCGAAGCATTCAAAGAGTTCGTATATCTAGGGACATCGATTAACCCCAATAATAACACATCTAAGAAAATAAAAAGGCGAATAATAATTGCAAACAGGTGTTATCATGGTCTATCAAAGTACTTAGCTAACAAACGTCTGTCTCAAAAAACTCGTATAAGGCTGTATAAAACACTGAGTCCTCGTTCTCACATATGGATCAGAGGCATGGACGCTAACTAAAACACATAAATCCGCTGTATCGGTTTTTGAAAGAAAGGTGCTACGCAAGATATTCGTAGCGGTCTGTGAGAACGGAATGTGGAGGTGTAGATATAACTTTGAACTGCAGAATATCTACAAGCATACGTTTGGTGGTAAAAATATTACTACTATAATTAAGCGAAACCACCTGTAGTGGACAGGACATGTAGTACGGGCCCCTGAATCGAACATGATAAAAAAGATTCTAACAGCACAACCCGTGGGAATGAGAAGACGGGGTAGACCAAAGCTGAGGTGGTTGGATGGGGTAACACAAGATGAGGAGAAGATCGTAGTTGGCAACTGGAAAATGCAAGCAAGGGACAGAGCAGAATGTCGTAGAAAGCTTGAGAAGGTCCAGACCCTCTAAGGGCTGTAGCAAAAAGATGATGAAGTTAAACGATATTATTTTTTATGCATTTGAGAAAAACGTTTGTTTCGTGTTTATATATTAGTCGCTCTTTATACCGCTAGCACAGCTCTAGGATTATAGCAGGCGATTCTGCTATCTCTTGGGCCTACGGTATACCAGGTAATAGGGCCAATGCTACGCTTCAACTTCTTATTAGTATCCCTGGTTTTATCCAAGGTACTGATTTTTTCAGGTTTGGTTGATCTGGGGCCTGTAGATATTTAAAAATTACTAAAGTCTATTTGTTTGCAACTGGCAGCTGATTGCAAATGCAAATCTTCAAATAGAGGTCGATGGTTACCCTCAAGGCCATAAGCCATTTGTTCTGAAAGCGCGTGATAATAAAGTCGAAATTAAATATTAGTGCGCGAAGTAATAAATAAGCCGATATATTATGTCCACGTTTATAAGTAGGGCGGAAAGAGACGGTTTTCATCCGTCCTTAAAGTTAAAATATTTATTACCTTGGCTCAGTTTGACTTGTACACACTTATGTTGCAAAATTTGTCAACCATGTGTAAAAAATTTGTAATTTAAAGTGTTAAAATAATTGCAGCTTAACTCCATTTAATTTATACAAGGGTAAGTTAGAGGAAAATTGTCACATAAGTATATAATTTAGCATAGATCATTAGGACTATTGGTTTAGTGATTACATCACTAAATTGTAAAAGTGCTAAGGATATTGTGTAGGGGATTTGTGAAGGAGAAGCTGATGTGAGCCGTAACTCACTAGACTACTAGACTACAAATCAGAAAAGTTTTAAGACCAGAGCAGATTTCCTTCAAGTTCGAGGAATAGCCAGAGATCGCCAGCCATCGTGGTGTACAATAGGATCACAGCAGATTTGCTTCGAGTTCGAGTAATAGCCAGTGATCACCAGCCAGCGTGATGTACAGTAGGACTGATAGATATAACAGAACTTTTTAATAAACATTTTAAAAGATTTTTATCATAGACATTTAAAGACTCTTAGTTTATCTCTTTTTTAGTTTAATGTATTTTTTAAAAGTTTTGTATGCTTGTTGTTTTGGGGTAATTAAACCTGTACTTAACTCATCTATTATTTTAATCTTACTTAAAGGATTAGGTAGATAGAAGCATTTAATACGATAGAAAGAGCGGTACAAAACAGTTGCCTAAACATAATAGATCGGACGCGCTGGATGGACCATGTTGAATATATGTTGGAAACTGAAACACCAAAACATATAATGAGGTAAACACCAGTAGGGAGAAGGTCAAAGGGAAGACCCAAACTTAGACTTAAGATTACTAACTGGAAAAACAAAGTAAGGAACAGAACAGAATTGCGGAAAATCCTAGAACAAGCCAGGACCCAGAAAGGGTTGTCGAGCTACTGATGATGATGAAAGGATTAGATAAACTTTTTACCACCTCTTTATGGAGTGTGATATTGAACAAAAGCGTTTTTGAATAATTACTGTCCACAAAGGTCATTGGTACCAATCTATTTATCATCAAATTGGGCATTTATCTCCAATTTGTCCACCAATAAATCACCGAAAAATAATTTAATAATGTAAGTTTTGGAAAATAGAGAGTAGATCTTTTACCCTCTTCCCTTTATAGCAGTTTTTCAAATATTGTCTTCTCTCTTTTTTTTACACAAATAGAGAAAAATTATCGATAGTAACACATATCTGTATTAAAATAATAAGAAAATTAATATTGTTATATAATATAACTCACCTTATTTCCTAATGCAGCCTCTTTGGCTAATAAAACAGCTAGTCCTCTAACTCTCCTACCACTTCCTAACGTTCTTCTTGCTTCAGAAGTGCTTTTAGCTTCAGGTTTTGGGTGATCGTGAACGCCCTTGGCCTGAAAGAAAATCGCATGTTCGGTATGCCTCCAGAAATGAGTTACTGGGTATCCGCAATGTCCTCTGCATGGTTGAATCTCTAGACGACCCGTGCATTGTCGATTTGGGCAAGGTTTACCTGAAAATTTAAAATTTCATTTTAAAATGAAAATCTCTGAGCTTTCCAGTATTTCGAACATAACTGATTGGGTCGGAAAGTTCTTATCTCCTGCACGGCACGTCCTTATCGCTAATAGTGAATGCCTTATTGATATATAGGACTGATGTGAATAAAATGTAATAAACTGCCGTGCAGATCAACTAAGAACATGACATAGGTAGTGGAGATCTGACATTAACTATACACACGCACACTTAAACAGTACAACCGGTCTCATTATATGGTGATATTTGTCATGTGACTATTTCGCTTTCCAATTCTGAAGTGATTCCGAATTCATCATAGGATCCGGGGATATACGGTACAGAGGAAAAGTGATGCCTTGGTGATACCCTAGAGAGCTGGCGAAATCTCGGGAATTAGAGCTTTGGTACTATATGACCATGAATGAGATTGATTTTATAATATCAAATCGAAAAGATATTGTTCAGGATGTAACAGTATTGCATAACTTTTCAACAGGGAGTGACCATAGACTAATTAGAGCAAAATCCACTTTTAATACTGAAGTTAAAAGAACAAAAATGATCCTTAAAAAGAAAAGTGGAATGTGGATGTTCCCAGAAGATATAACACTTTATGAAGAAAATATTAAGACTAGTTTGGATACACACGACTTACAGAATATCAGAATAATATTATTCAAATATTGAAAGAAACTGAAAAGAAATAATGTCCTCGTCCTGAAAACAATAACAAAAAATTAAGCCACAACACAAAACATCTTCTAGAGGAAAAAAGAAAACTTAGGGAAAATCAGGGTCTTAACCAAAATCAACTAAGAATTTTGAATAAGAAAATAGAGTTCAAATTATGAACACGATAGAGAGTTTTTATAGACAACTATACAAAGAACAGCAATGCAACCGGAGTGGATCATTACCAAAGATAATCAATCAGGGATTTGAAATTTTACCGGACGTAACACCCAATGAAGTTCGAAGGTCAGTGCAAGAAATGAAAAACAATAAGACCCCCGGAAGCGATGAAATAGTGACAGATGCCAAATGCCAAAGATTATGGCAGGTCCTTGCCAAACTATTCACTAGATGTTTGCAGGAAGCAATAACACCAACCCAGTGGTATAACGCAGACATGATCATACTTCATAAAAAAGGGGATGCTACCGACCTCAGGAATTACAGGCCAATTAGTCTACTTTCACATATTTATAAACAATTTACAAAAATAATTACGAAACGACTAAAAATTAATTGGAATTTTATCAGTCCATAGAACAGGCGGGTTTTAGAAAAGGCTATGGAACAAACGATCTCCTACTGGTAATAAAAAATCTTATAGAAAAATGCACTGAATATAATAAACCACTAGCTGTAATATTTGTCGACTATGAAAAGGCATTCGACACCGAAATCAACAAAAAATGTTGGAAGCGTTGACAGAATGCCGAATTGACTATCGGTATATAAATATAATTAAACACATATACCAAAACACAACAGCCAGTGTTAGAGTGGGTGATCGCCAAACCCAGAAATTCCCGATACAACGTGGAGTACGCCAGGGGGACACCGAAACTGTTCACCATGCTTTTGGAATATATATGTAAAAGGGCAAAACTGACCGACAAGGTCATAAACATAAACGGAGAAAAGCTTAGCCATCTAAGGTTTGCAGATGATATTGTACTAATAGCTGATAGGATAGATGAGGCCAAAGAACATCTTAATCAGCACTATCTTTCCTTGCTAGAAGGGGGATTGAAAATAAATATATCTAAAACCCAGATGATGACAAATCTTGTAGTCAGCGAAGATATATGCGTAGGAATAAGATCCATAGACCAGGTAATGGCCTATAAATACCTAGATCACGAGATTCGCATAGGAAAAGATAACCAAACCGTTGAGCTTCTCCGTCGTATAAGACTGACTTGGGCAGCCTTCGGCAAGCTGAATCATATTTTCAAATCGTCTGATACACCTTAAAAGAAAAACCTTTGATCAGTGTGTTTTGCCAGTGTTGACTTACGGTGCGGAAACGTTGACCATGACAAGGAGAACAGTTCAAAAGATCCGTGTGTGTCAAAGGGCGATGGAGCGTCTATGTTGGGCGTTTTACTACGAGACAAGATACCAAATCGTCAGCTACAACAAAGAACAGGAGTGGCTGATGCGGTAGAGAGAGTAGCAACTCTGAGATGGAACTGGGCAGGTCACGTGGCTCGAATGACAGATAATAAATGGACAAAGCGGATACTGAAATGGAGACCAAGAGATGATGCCTACCGAAGCAGAGGTCGTCCACCAACACGTTGGACTGACGATCAAAAAGGTTGTCATAGGATTTGGATGCAAGAGGCACAAGATCGAAATAGATGGAAAAATATGAGGGAGATCTATGTCCAGCAGTAGATAAGCCAAGATTGAATGATGACTATATGACCTCGACCTCACGGCCGTGCCGACAGTATTCCGCCTCCATTCGTGCAAGCTAACTGAAGATGGAGACAAAAGAAAAAATAATTAATAAAAAGAACTCAGAAAAGCTGCTTAGGCTCTTACAGGTGAATATTCAACACTGTAAGGCAACTTCGCCAGACCTTACTGTTGATATAAGAAGATTCAATGTCGCCTTGATATAGGAGTTATACCAGAGTTAAATAAAAGATCTGTTATATGTTGGACGGAGCAAGTTCCAGAGTTTTATAATAATCAATGGAAGATGTGTAATAAGCCAATCGGTTGAAATATTACCGGTAGAGAATAGACAGAATAGACTCTTGAAAATCAGGTGTACAAAACAGAACAACTAGTTGTATGCTTAAATACAATCTATAAATGCTGTATGTATAAATGAACGTTTGGCAATATATAAAGAAGTATTCACAAAAGAGTACTATGCCAAAAATTACGATAATATCAGGAATGTCAGCAAAACTAAGTTCAAAAGCATCTGTTATAATGCTTAGAATAAAATTCACTAACATATCCTAATCATCTATCAAATTAGTGAGTGAGAAAAGAATATTGGAAGTTGCAGCAATTATCAAAAATGAAATGTGAATAGGACAACTACTAAAAAGGCGAAGCATTCATTTTTTTTCGAAGATTTCTATTGTAGAACATCAAGTTTTTTTTAATACTCTTAGTTATATATGGATATGCTTTAGAAATAACAAATGTACCTTGCTGTTTTTTGCGAGCTTTGTCACATATGGCTGGTCTCAAGTGCACCTTTTCTCCAGTGGATAAGGTGCATCTCAAAGAACAAATAAGGACACCTAAGCAACTTTTCTTCAAAATATGGACGTTGTGATTGTTGGTATTCCTCATAGCCCATCCAGAAGAATGTCTTTTGGCTTCTTCGCTATCAGCTCGATATACCAGACGACAATGTCCATCTGCCCATTCAGAAAAATGGTCGAATTCTTCTATTCTAGGAATGGAACTGTCGTTGATGTCCCAGTCGTTTGAGTTGGAGTAGGCCCGGCACGTCATGCCAGGTGAAGACGGAGCGTGACTGTAACAAAAAATATTATTATACAACTGTTTTGTCACTTTAATTAAATAAATAATCTTACGTTTTAGTTTTTAAAAAATCGTACATCCATTTTTACCAACAAAAATTACAAGCAGAAAAATTTTTTTTTTTTGGTAAATGCTTTAGGTAAAACGGTGCAGTTATTTGTAGGGGACAAACTAGAAACTTTGTTGGTCTAATATTTTACATGTGTATTAAAAATATTTTTTTATTCAAAATATCGAAATTGATATTCTTCTTCTTCCTGGTCCCCTCTTTCTGTAGACCTTTCTCTATAATATAAGCTGCAGCAGGTTATATCTATGATCTATCATTATATGCCCAAAACTCCTCGGTTTGTGTCCATGATTCAACCCCATAGAGCAGCACTGAAAACACATAGCATCTCAATAAACGGATTTTCGTTTTTAAGGGTAGGTCGTGGCTCTTAAATATCTTGCTCATTCTGACAAATACTGACCTGGCTTTTTCAATTCTTTGTTTATTATTTCTTTTACAAAATAATCTATCTTATATAAACGCTTATCATCTTTCTACAGACTATTTATTTGTTTTGATATATCACAATCACAATAAACAACAATAATTAGTTTTTAAAGCTATTAATGTAAATTTAATATGTATTTATAAATACAATTTATTAATACATATTATATTATGATCAAACTGTGTAAGAAATCAAAACATAAACAAAATTCCAACTCTAAAAAAGTGGCACCACTTTATACTCTTTTGCCACACGCTCAACTGTCAATAAAATTTGAAGTATTTCCGTATCAGTTGCGTACAATTGTCTAATATATTTAATTAAAATTATTATTTTGTGGAATATTAGACTTACAGAGTTATTTCATAAAATTTATATTATTAATTATAACAATGTTTTTGGTTATTTAATCAATATAATTCTAAAAATTCAAATATAATGATGATTACATTTTTGTGATTATTACACCATGTTGTTGCCTATGAAAGATTGAGCAGTTCCGTATGGGTTTCGTATTATTAGCTGTGTTATTAAAATTTGAACTCTAAGGTTGCTGTTCTGGAAATTTTAAATACAAGTGACGTCACTTTTTATAAATCTTGACGTTCAAGTGTTTTACTTTGAAAAATGGTATAGATATTTAAATGCAACGGAGAATTTAATACTGTCAATGGGTCTAAACTTTGTTGTTACTCAGCCATCCATTCCAAAATTTAATACAAAGTTGTACGTTAGTTTAGACTTAAAATTAAAATTCTGCCGTCACCTAGGACACAGAATAATAGACATTCAGAATGGCCATATTCAGAATGCCCACATTCAGAATTCCTAAACATTCAGAATGCCCACTCTCCATGAAAAATTAAGTACGCGCATCTCGTTCGCGCAGACGTTCCGCCATGTTTTAAAGGGAACCAGTTTTGTTTATGTGGTGTGCATAGAAAAATGAACCCGGTTTAATTGACTTAGGGCGATCATAGACATACTATACAATTATATTAACATTGTTAGATATAATAACATAAATATAATTTAATTAAACCTAAATATAAACAATTACATAACCTCACAAATCATATGACTGTGCTATGTGTTTTCTTCTAAAACATGGCGCGCGTGCTGAAAAACTTCAAAGGCGGCATCGGAGAGTGGGCATTCTGATTGTTTATTATTCTGTGTCTAGGACAGAAACCTGAAATACCAACTGACATTTCAACCTATGAGTCAATCTATTTTGTTTTTGAAACGATACGTTTAATTAAAAATACTAACAATATTAATTAATATATTAATTACATAGATAATTAATAATACGAATATTTATTATTACTTTTTTTGCAAAATTGACAAAAATCTTGGTTGCTGTAAATTAAAGGAAAAATTTATTTTGCAAAACAATTTAAAGCTTTATGTTAGTTTATATTTATTTGGTTTATATGCAAGAAAGTACATACATGCTGATTTTTGTATGTATATCGATTTCATAAGACGTCATTTAATTTTTTTATTAAAACTTTTTTTAACAACTCGAGAAATACCGGGTCGACTTGGGTAATTTTGATTTTAAAATATTTGTATAAATATCTGCATAAAATACAATAAAATAAAATCAATAAAATTAGGTAAAATCGAATCGAATAAAATAAATTAAATTAAAAACCAAACTGTGTGGTATTATTATAAAAAATATTAACAATTCAGTAATAAGCAGATATGAAATTTCATTAACCAACATCTCCTTTGTTATTGGTTCGATTGTAGCGTGTGATACGTTAAATGAAAGGGAATGATATCACGAATATATTAAGATAAAAGAAACAAACAAGGCGATTACCAAACGGCCACTACATAATGTCTTCATTATTAATGAAAGTATAGTTACATACGAGATACCATAGGGTACTGTGAATAAAAATAGTTTAACTAAAAGACAAATTTTGATTTATTGACTTAAAGAAGGCCTCTTACTGAATAAAAAATAATCAACTGACCGAATTCTAACACGCGACATAGCAAATGAAAGAAGAGGAAATAAATAGTTACTTTTTAATAACATGGAAATATTGAAATAAAGTAAATCAAATAAAACTGTAATTGTTTTATTATTTTTCAATTTTTTATTTTCTTTAATCAAAATTTATCATTATAGCGGTTAGTTGCAGAATAACCATTGTTTGTTGTAATTTCAAATTTACGTTCTTATCCTGGACTCATTACTTATGCCATAAATGATGCGTTAGAAGTAAAAATCTACTGAATCAACAATATATATATATATATATATATATATATATATATATATATATATATATATATAATCGAAAACCTCTCTACCCTACGGTGTGAGGTACGAATCAACAATATAAAGATTTATAATTAGTTTGATCTAAGTTTTAAGTATAAACCTCTTCATTCGTAAATGAAAGATGTAGAATATAAAAAAAATTTCACCATCAATCGTAGAATAAGCTATTTATAAAGAAGACTTGTATTTCCTCTGGCCATAAAAACTGCAAAAATAAATAATTTATTTGAAGACTATCTTTAAGTCATTCATTGGTTCTTATCTTTCTGCATTCACAAGTGGAATCGAGAGTGAGATTCCCGGTCTACTACAAACTAATTTATTTACGTTTGACCGGCAGTCGTCCAGTCGGCCAGTATCGTCCGACGCGGCGAAGTGCCCTCTGTGCCGCCAGATCATTCGATCGGATACAATCGTATAATTAATCGAACAGGATAATTGTTGGGCATGCGACGACGAACTGGCTAAGTTACGATTGTTTAATCGTCAAACACTCCAGGGCTTTTTCGAAGAGAGGGTCAGTGCTCAGATAAACAGAGTTGGATTTACCTTTTTCGCTTTTATTTTTAAGAATACTTATTTACTTTCCTCACTGACAGCTAATATGTTTGTTTAATTATTTTATCAAATTCTTAAGTTCTTCCTATTTTTTTAATGTTTTTCATCGGCCTTGCCATATAAATTTACCGTTTTATTAATGTCAGCTCAATTATCTTATGTTCTTCTCTTTTAATACGGATTTTTATTATTATTTCTTAGAACGTATAGTAATAATACAATAATAAAATATATCAAGAACCAGTTATATATATATATATATATATATATATATATATATATATATATATATATATAATGGCTATACATCCCAACGTGGGGTTAAACCGCAAATGCTTTCTAGATCCTATTTCTTAAGTGGATCAGTCTTTTTTTTTGTTTATCTTATCTTCTTGACAATATCTCTCCATTTTTTCCTGTCTCTAGTTCTTCCTCTCCATTCACTGACTCCTGCCCTTTGGAGGTCTTCTTCAACTTCTTGCAGCCACTTTGATCTCGGTCTTCCCCTTCTCTTTCTTCCTCCTGGATTCCATTCTATCATTGCGTATGTCACTGCCTCATCGCCTGCTCGCCAGATGTGACCTAACCATCTAACTCTGCATTGCTTTATTTTAGTTACAATGTCTTCCTTAAGTTCTTCCTTAATTTCTGCATTTGTTCTGCTTCTATATTCATTTTGCTCTGTTCTGATTGGTCCTAGTATGGTTCTCATAATCTTTCTCTCTGCAATTCTTAAGTCTTCTTCATCTTTTTTAACCATCGTCATTGTTTCCCCTGCATATAATAATATTGGTCTAATTATGGTATTATAAATGCTCATCTTGCTTTTTTTAGTCAGTGTTTTGCTTTTAAGTAATCTTTTGTTTGCAAAATAAGCTTTATTCGCTGCTAATATTTTTTCTTTTATTTCGGATTTCCTTTCTCCGGATTTACTTATTGTAACTCCTAGGTATTTGAAGTATTCTACTTCTTCAAACTCGGAACTTCCTATTTTGATTTTTTCCTTCATTGGTTTTTTCCCTAATCTTAATATTTTTGTCTTTTCTTGATTTAATCTTAGCCCCATTACCTCCCCTTTCTCTCTTATTTCTTCAAGCATTTCTTTCATTATTTTTCTGTTCTTTGCAATAATAGCAATATCATCTGCATATGCAATTATTTGACCACCTCTTGTTCTGAGATTTCCTTTATTTATATTTCGCAGTACATATTCTAATGCTAGATTAAATAGCGTCGTTGATAAGGCATCTCCTTGTTTCATCCCTTTATTTATACTGAATTCCTCTGTCTCTCCTCTTTGTGTCTTTATGCTTATTTTTGTAGTTCTCAATGTCATTTCTATTAATTTTCTGAGTTTATGTGGAATTTTTAATTTTTTAAGTGCTGTCATTAATACGTTCCTTTTAATTGAACCAAATGCCTGTTTGAAGTCTATGAATAACATTTCCAATTCTAATTTATACTCGTTTGCTTTTTCCATTATTTGTTTTATTGTGTGTATTGCATCTATTGTAGATCTTCCTTCTGTGAATCCACATTGGTACTGTCCTACTGTCTTCTTTGTGATCTTTGATAACCTCTTTTTTATTATTGATGTCAATATTTTATATGTTGTATTTAGTAGTGTTA